CCTTGCTCTCTTGCACAGCTTGAATTCCCAGTTTTCTCTTCTAACATTCCCCAACCTGATACTGGCATGGAGTTATCAAAGTGCCACTCTCTACAGCTCTCTGAAAGGAGATTGTAGCCAGGTCAGTCTCTTCTCCCAGGCAGTCGGTGACAGAACAAGAGGAAATGGTCTCAAGCTACTAGGGGAGGTTTAGGTTGGACATTGGGAGGAATTTCTTCACCGAAAGGGTGATTAGACATTGGAATGGGCTGTCCAGGGAGGTAGTGGAGTCATGGTCCCTGGAGGTGTTTAAGAATGTGGCACTCAGTGCCATGCTATGGTTGACATGGTAGTGTCTGGTCATAGGCTGGACTTGATGACCTCAGAGGTCTTTTGCAACCTGAATTAATCTGTGATTCTGTAATTCTTTAATGGTTTGTCTTACCATTTCTTAAGTTGGAGAAAAAAACCTGCTGCTATTTGGACATAAATCCACTGACAGACTTTGGGAATTATGTGGAATTATGTGTGTAGCTCTTCCTGCAATCGAGTGCTTTTAGCAATTTTGAAACCTGAATGCACTCAAATGTGGAGATCCTGGTGCACTCCTCACCTGGGCCTCTTGTGGCCAATGCCATCTCATTTTGAGGTGGGCAGTGGAGTTGTCCACATCTGGAGGTTTTAAACGCAGTTCCTGGCTTGCCCTCAGGCTGCAGACTGCTTGATGTGGGGATATGCTTTGTTCCCCTAAAACAAAGGAAACTTGTGTCGAAAATGTGATACCAAATTGAGCTTCCTTTAGGTTTTGTTTCTCAATTTTACCACTTAAAATGAGATGCATATTTGAGCCCTCAAATTTTGCAGTTTGCATATGACTGTAGGTAATTGTATGTATTCAAATTACCTTGAATAAATGTATCTGAAAGCTCTGGTTTAGTTCATTTTTATCCCACACACAGATTTATACATGTAGATGCCTGTTCAAGGCCATGAAAATGTGTTGTCTCCCAGTTTGATGGTAAATCCCAGTTTAGGTTACAAATCAAAATGGAAAAAGCAGTGTTAACTTCTTTTTTGGTGCATTGCCAGTGAGAGTTCTGCATCAGCATTTCATGGTCCAACATTTTCAACGTTTTTCCTTGCCCCCCCTTCCCCTATGTGTGAAATTTCAGCAGATTGTTATGCAAAGCAGTTTTGTGTCTCAGTGTGACTGGGGAGACAGCTGTTCGGCCTAATGAGGAGTGCGAGCGCCACAGCATTTCTGGTGATTGAGACCCACGCAGGGAGCAGGATGTTCGAGGCCAGGCACTGGTGTGTGGTGAGGAAGTGCCATGCTGTCAGCTGGAAGTACACGCTCGGCTGCTCCCCATGACAAGATAAATGAGTTTTGCTGGGGTTTGGCGGAGGCTGAAGCTTTTTTGGAGAATAGTTGTAGCGCACCAAACTCCCTGTGGGACCCACAGTTTGAAGTGTCGTAAGACGGCTTCCTCTTTGCTTGTTTGTTTTTTTTTTTTCTTTAATGTCCTACAATACCTGTCATCTTTTTGAGTTATTAAAAATCTAATGTCTTCTAGCATTTAATTAACATGGGGGCTGATGATCTTTTGTTGACACTTTTTATTAATTTAGCCAAGGGGATGTTAACCAGAGTTTTATCGGGGTTAGAACAAACTGAAGACTAATACAAACAAAAATTAAATCTAGCCACATGAAAATAGAGGAAAAAAGCTTTTAATTTTTGTGATATGGGTGGGGTTATGGAGGCAATACTTTTGAAAGATTATTTGTTTATTGGCTGCTTCTATTAGCTTCTTTCTTCCCATAGACTTTGCATCCCTTTCTTTCTTCTCACCATTCTCCCTTAGCTGGGCTGAAATTCTTGTTTAGTTTATAAGTAGGAAGTGGCTTTTCTTCTTGTTACGATTTTATTTTAATCAAGAAACCAAATAAACACAAAGCCAAGAAAAAAAATTGCTGAGGTGATTCTGTCATTTTCAGAGATGCCCCAGTTGGAGTATCAGAGGAGACAGAATGGAATTTGTACTGCGTAAGATCTATGAGCACAGCACTTGCTCCTGTTTTAAGTCAGTAGCATTGAGCATGTCTTTGAATTTAGATGCATGTGTTTTTTTTTTAATATCAACTCATTATGTTCCACTTTAAAATAAAAGAGAAAACAAACCACTTTGTCTTTACTCAGATAAATGAAGTGCTAATAACCTTCCCCAGAATTGTCAGGTCTGTGAGAATGATACCATTCTGGCCTTTTTAGACCTGTTGTTTAGTTGTTTAGTTACTTAAAACTTCAAGCCTTGCAATCCTATTTTGAAAATGAGATATCTTTGAGAATTGAATTGTTTCTCTTAGAAGAGTCATGCTTCATTTTTGTAAAAGCACAGGGAATATTATACAGACATCTATATAATGTTTGCTTTGGAACTGGGACCAAAATTCTTGATCATAAACACTGAGTTCAGTAAGAAGTGCTTTTATATTTAGCTATTAAATTCAAAGCTCCTTATGTAGAAGATTGTTTTCATAGTCCCATGTGCTTGCAAACGCTCATCCCAGTATGCAGTCTTGCAGGGCCAAACTGAGGGTCAGTGGAGGGCTAAGACCACTAAGCACCTTTAAAGTTGTCACTAAAAGCAGACCAGCAGCTTTCCCTTTACCTTTCCCTCACTTGCCCTATTTCCAGAGAGCTACAGCAGAATTTCAATGCATTTTTATTTTACAAACTTTCGCTTGGTGTACCCAGTATCTGAACATTTAAGCTGAAAAGAGTAAGTTAAGCTGGAAAGGATTTTGTTATCTTTTGAGTGTCTTTGGAGGAGCAAGAAGGATTGAGCTAACCTGGGGTTGGCATTCTGTTTTCCTGGCAATACTTCTGAATGTTTTCATTTAAAAATGATAAATCTAAGGATTAGAGAACCTTATGTGGTCAAAGAAACTTAACCATGTTTGAAAGTGATAAATGATAAAGCAAAACCAATATGAGATCAAAGAAGCTAGAAAACTCTTTAAAGTTTTGAAGAAAAGCACCCAAAAGTGGAGGGTTATTTTAAGACAGTTTCACAACATATTCCAGCTGTAATTGGAATAAAATGTGATGGGAAAAAATATCAGATTTGTTTGTTGGCAGCAGAATACTAAAGCGCAGGATATTCACTCACCTGGAGATTTTATATGACTTGAATTCCTTATGCTGTTGTGTGCTAGGGAGTCTCCCAGTGTGTGTGGAAAATATGGAGATTGAATAGAGAATTTTAAACTTTTAAGCATTGCTTCAAATGTGTTGCAGCATTATAGAGATAAGTGAAAGCCTTAAATATTTTTCCGAGCTTCTTTGTGTAAAGAACTAGTGAGAAGTGCAGGCATTTGTAAATTTAAAGGAGTTTGGGCTGGTAGGGACAGGTTTGGGGGTAAGAACATGCCAGCTGTATTGTTCAGCAGCTTGACTGCATGAGTGAGTTTTCTTCCCAAATAAGGTGCCTGAGACTCAGCAGTTGTGGCCTTCAGGTGTGTTTTAACTTTTTGACTTTTTGTTCATAAAGTCCAGAAGATTAGTCGAAGACCTCTTGATTCTTTCTGTAATCATCTCCCTGGTGGCTTAGCTGCACTCTAATAATGTGTTAGGAAACTTGGTATCATGAATAAAGTGGGCCTTCATCCTAATTAAAACTTAATTTGGTGTCAATTTAAATTAAGAGGCTTGCATAAACTGGTCCATTGTGACCTGGCTTGTGCTAATCTTAATCAGCAGCTTGGATAGGACATGAATTCAAATTTCTGCAGAACAACTAAAGTGACAGTAACAACTGACAACTTAAATTAAAATTACTAAATTCTAAGAAATTGATGTGCATGACCCAAGTTACAAGATAGGTCATTAAATCAAATCTGTAGAAACAGAATTGAGAAGCCTTCCCTAATGATTATAAGGAGAGACAAAAATGCTTTGTTAGTAATTATGTGGGCAGAAAATAACTGGCTTTGAGTTAGGAATTCACAAAATTACAATGAAAATTGTAGTACAAAAGCTTTTAATTGGTTAATATGAAATAAAGGTAAAATATTTTAAAATAATCATAGAATCATCATGAAAATTGTCTGTTTGAGCCCAGTAGATCAATCATATGCTGTTATCTGAAGCTGTAAAATACAAAGATAATAAAATTCTAAAATAAAATCCTTTATAAAAAAGCTTCTGGAAGTAATACGTTGCACTTTCAATTGCTAGAAATATTCTCATGAGTCTTTCTCTGACTGCCCTTGTGCATTTCTAGGCATAGTAGGTAAAATTTGAAGAACTGTTTGCTTGTGCATCTTACTACTACTTGCCATTTTTTATCTGACTCAGACTTTTCCTGCTTGTAAAACAGGGCTAGAAATCACAATTAGAGATTGTTGGATTGCTGTAGCTATTGGTAGTGGAGCTTTGCTGGAGACTCTGTGTATGGATTGCAGCATGTTCGTGTGTGTACAGAATAGCTTTAGCTACATCTCGGGTGTTTGGGACCTCCTCAGTATCTGTACAGTGAATGAAAATGTCTGGGATAGTTCTACCGAAATTTTTGGGTGGAAAGAAGAGCTTGGTTACTAATCTCAAATCACTGAAGAAGATTTGTACTCTATGCTACTGATTCAATTGGGGTTGTGTGATAAACCTGGTGGACATTAGTGCAGAGCTTCAAAAGTGAATTCAGGTTTCAAGACTGGGCCTGTTTAGCTCGTGTCAGAATCAGTGGAATGTGAAAGATGTCTCCAGAGTGAGTCTCTACTGTTGGGCTGCTTCTCTTAGCACTTGGGTCAGTCAGGCCCTGTTCACTTTGTGTCATAGCTTCTTGTAAGAATATTTTTTAATTCAAAAATAACTGCTTGGAATTTAAAAATTTCAGATTACTCTGCTGAAAAAAAAAAAGGCAAACTACATATGCTAAAGGAAGTGCAGGAACAGAAAATGCTAGTTTAATAAAGAAGTTTAGAGTTTGACATCTTTGTCTTTACTCCTGATTGTTTAGCACTGTGACATCTGCAGTTTTCACTGTGGGAGACAATGTTGTGTCTGGTAGTGATGACCGTACAGTAAAAGTCTGGGATTTGAAAAACATGAGGTCTCCTATTGCAACAATCCGCACAGATTCTGCAATCAACAGGTAAGCAGATCTCTGAGTTACTGCTTTGCTTAATTCATTCTTTCTTAATTAATTCTTAATTTCTTTCACACGTGGGAATGGTTTAAAGCTGTGCCACAGGGGTTTAGACTGGACATTTCTTTCCTGAGATGATGGTCAAATCCTGGAACAGGCTTCCTAGAGAGGTGGTTGATACACCAAGCCTTCCAGTATTTAAGAGGTGTTTGGACAATACCCTTAATAACATGCTTTAAGCTTTGGTCAGGCCTGAATTGGTCAGGTAGTTGGACTGGATGATTGTTAAAGGTATCTTTCAACTGAAATAGTCTATTCTATTAATTCATGGAATATACATTTATTTTTTTGTCCCTGAAATTAAACTTGAGATTTATAGGAATTGGAAAAAGGTCTGAAATGGTTTTATAAAAATGCAGGTGTGATGAACATTAATTTTTAGTAAGTACATTGCTTTTAAGAAATTTTCTATAAATAAATGCAGATGTTAAGGCTATTTGAGGATCTAGTACAATAGAAAATACCTTAATGGTTCAACATTTTTTTTGTCTTTCCATTTGTAAATTCTAGCCAGGAAAAATTCAGCTGCATCCCCTTCCCACGAGCTTAAATTTGTGCTGCCAGTTTCTATTTGCCAGGCTCGTTGTTTCCTACCCGGGCTCCTTTTGTCCCTTTCCCTGCAGGATTAACGTGTGCGTTGGCCAGAGGATCATCGCCCTTCCCCACGACAACCGGCAGGTTCGATTGTTCGACATGTCAGGGGTGCGGCTGGCCCGGCTCCCGCGCAGCAACAGACAGGTACAGAGCTGCGCCTCCAGCCCGGCTCTCCTTCCTCCCGCAGGCTTCAGAGTGCCATTTGGTCTCTCTGCCTTAAGTGCTCAACTGCACTGGTCTGAATAAATACGCTGTTAGTTATTAAAAATAACCAACGTGCCAATAATAGGAAATATTTTAAACTTTTTTGTTGGAGTTGGAAATGGTGTTTCAAGGGATTTTCATCATGATTTTTCCCCTTTACTAAGGTGAAATGCATATCTGCATTCTCTGTGAAATGGAAAAAGTGTGTAAGAGCATTTTAGATGTGTTTTAATGTCTTGATGTGAATTGTGTCAGAAAAATGGCTCACTATGAGGTTTAATAGTGATTTTTCTCATGGTGATTTTTTTTTCTTTTTTTTTTTTTTTTTTTAATTACACAATGTCTAATTGGTTTATATATTCCAAGCTGGATGGGGCTCTAAGTAACCTGGCGTAGTGGAAAGTGCCCCTGCCCTTGGCAGGAAGGGTTGGAACCAGATGATCTTTAAGGTCCCTTCCAACCCAAACCATTCTGTGATTCTATGACATAGAAACACAGAGGGAAAAAGTGAGGGTTAGTTCTGTGAGCTCACCTTGTATGATTTGGTGATAATTTTAATTTTTTTCATCTGTGCTTATTCACATAAATTCTTGATACATACCACCATGTAATAAAACATCCTTGCTGCAGCCATCAAGTTTTGTGCACTTATGGCACTATTTGGCATGGCAAGCATCAGTAATGGAGCAAATCAGACTAAGTGAAATTAATTGGATTATGTCACATAAATAGGCCTTTTTTGGGGTTGATTCAGCAGTTCTTGACAGAATTTCCAGAGTTCTAAGACTTACTTAATCTCTTTTAGATTTTTTTGTAATTTAGGTGGGTTTTTTAATTTATTGTAGTCCTGAGGGTTTTTTGTGTGTGTGTGTATGTCTTTTTTTTTTTTCCTTAATAGTTCCATTCGGGATGACACTACAGAAATTATTATTTTATTTTTTTAACCTGAATGTTGGTCAGAACCCTGTTTTGGACATTTTGGTTACTACTGAGCTATTTTCATCAGAATGACACCCTTCCTGCTGCAGTATTATCCCTCCTGAATTCTGAACAATATGGACACTTAATCTTGCAAGATTATTACAAAGTAATTGCCAGCAAGTAGTTCCTTATTTTAAGACTACTTTTATAAATAAATATGCTAAAATCAAAGTTTGATTTGCTTTTGTAAAGAAAATGTAACTAGATAGCAAACAGACCTTGGAAAACTCGAAAGTCTTGATGCACCTTTTTGTATGCATCTGTCCTTAGGGATGCAGTGCTGGTGCTAAGGAGTCCCATCATTATAAGACTTTTACCGTGCAGATGCAGGTGACAATGACCCTGAGGATTCTCAAGGGCCGTTTGCAAAGAATAGGCTGAGGACTGGCAGGGTTGCACTTTGAGTTGCAGTGAGCTGTTGCCCCAGCAGCTCCCAAATGCTGTACTGTGTCAGTAACGGTGCTGTCTCCACGCCGTGCAGGGGCACAGGAGGATGGTTTGCTGCTGCGCCTGGTGCGAGGACCACCCCACCTGCAACCTCTTCACCTGTGGCTTTGACCGCCAGGCCATCGGCTGGAACATCAACATCCCTGCTTTGCTGCAAGAGAAGTGAAATGCTGAGGGAGCTTCTGCGTTTGTGTCGCCGTGGGGACTTCTACACCTGGGCAGACTTTTCTGAGCACTGGTCTGCTGTCGCTGTAAAAGCTCTTCCGTGAGGGGAGACTTGAGCAAATGTTGTTCTTGTTACCACATTGTGCACAGTTTGCATGGGTTGTACAGAGAAATGTGATTTTTTAAAAATTAGTCTCGTGTATGAACTTTTATATTTTGGCATCCACTGGTCAATATGTTCACTGTTGTGTAGAGCACATAAATGTTCATAAGTTATTTAGCATTTAATAGTTACACAGTAGGGCATTACATTTGTGACATAAATGTGAAACTTATGTAATTACTGTAGAGAGTGTATACAGTCTGTTACAGTTTTCCATGACTCTACATATCTGCCTTGTGTTAAAAGGAATCTGCAGGGCTAAAACTTTGAGATGAAGTGTGAATTTCACTAGTTATATGATTGTAAACATTTTCCTGTTTGCATCTGATTTGAATACTTTTTTTAGTGCTGCCGTATAGTGCGACTTCGACTCCATTTTTACTCTGGTTACTAGAGAAATAGTAGATTTGAGAAGGAAAATGCAAGCAACTTGTAGTGAGTATAGACTGCTAGGTTTATTTGTAATCTTTTTTGTACTTATTATTTTGAAAAAAGAAAAAGATCCATTCTGCCCTTCTTATATAAAGTGATTCTGAAACCTCATCACATTTCATATTAGCAAAAATCCAGAATATTATGATTCTAATCACTGAAATCTAGTCAAGCAAATTCTGAAGCACTTTAGTTTATAGCTATTGTTATAAACCATTTATGAAAGTTTGACTTTACCAGTGAATGTGAGCTAACCTTTGTAAGAAGGATTAATTCCTTTTGGTGATCTGCCCAGAAAGGAAATAGTTTATTTGAGGGTTGATGAATTTGTTTATGTACCTACAGTGAGCATAGTTTTAATTGTGTTCACTTCCCATACTTTTGTTTTGAGCCAGCAATACAAAGTAAATGAGTACTACCTCAGAAATGAATGTTGGTCAAGATGCATCGAATCTCTCTGTAGCCTAGAAAAAAGCACTTTTGGTCTCTGGCTAAAGTACCATCTCTGACAGGAGAGGAAAGACAATCATACTACATGTGATCCTTAAGGTAGTTAACACATAAAGCTAATGGAGCAATACACCAAGCCAACATCATCTGTCACCGTTCTGTTCTCAGCCATGACAGGGGCGCTGCAGGTCCTGTCCTGTTCCAAAAGGGGGTAATTAACATAGCTCTCCCTTCTTTCTCCCAAATGATCTTGCTCTGGTTTTGCTCCTCACTGTGTTTTGCTGTTTTTGCTCTTGCAGTGGGGTGTTACTCTGCAGCTGCTGCTATCAGTAAATGTAGGTGGCAGCTGGTGTCTTGGAAAGAATGGAAAGGTTGCTTCAGACAGACACTTGTTTTTTGGCTAAAGGGAGATGCTGCCCCTGACTGTCAAACATATCACAGTATAAGATGAAGTGTGGGGGTGAGGAAGGGTGCACTCTGACAGTGGGAATCATGGTGGGTTGGCAGAAGTATTAGGAACTTTTTATCTCATCATCAGGATTCTGTGCAACTACAGCTGTGCTCATGTCCTCTACATCACTGTTTATCATAACATTAAGACGTGCTAGTTGGTTCTCCTGTTAACTAACATTTGTGTGGCATGGGAGTACAGTGGGATGGGATCATGAATGCATCAGTGAGGAATGGAAGGAAAACAGGGGGCCTGAACATAGTTTTGGACTGTAAAGTTAAGGAGAATCAAAATATTTAATGGAGAATATATGTAGTGTCTTTCTAGTACACGTCATCAGAGTAATTTGATCCCTTGTTTTTTTCTGTTGTGGAGTTTGGGATTTTTTCTTGAGATACAGGATGGACAACTGTGCTGAAGTAATCTTAAATACTAAAACTGGTGAGGTTGCAGAAAACAGCTGCAGAGTTTTAAGTGTTCTGGTGGTAAGAGTTAAATGATGGTGACAATGTTTATTTTTTTTCCAACGTTTTTTTTCCTCCTGGGTTTTTTACTCTGCGTTAAAGCCATTTGATGTTGGGTTACTGGTTTTATTCCTTAAGAAAATAAGACTCACTTTGTTTTAGTTGGTAACAGAGAGAACTTTACAAAGGTTTATGCTGTTTATAAAAAAAGAGAAAAATGTCTGGCCAGTACAAGCAGTTTCTCCAGCATGGCCTGCATGTAGGATCTGGAGCAATGGCTCTCCTTTATTACCTGAGGCAAAGGAGAGGGTCACTGGTTTTGGTCCTGCTAAACTAAAGTGTCTAAGCTTCTCTCATACATATGTAATACAGAACCACTGGACTCTATGCAGTTTAATCATCATTGCTGCAAACTTTTTATATCAACAGAGGGACCATCCTCTGGCACCAGGAATGGATGGTTTCATTTTGAAAAGAATCAACCAAACAAGGTGCTAGAGCCACGTTCTTATGAGCAGGCTAATACTTACATCAGCTAAACACTGAACTATCACTTAGTTTAGTTTTCTATACTGTACTGAAGGGTAAGCCAAACTACCATCCCCCTTGAAGCAAAACATATGAGTAGGGGTAGTGAATAATACTACATTGATTAAATATGTGGAAAACATTTCACGGCTCTAAATGTTCTAAAAAGTGTATTTTTCAGCACTGAACAATGTCCAGCATTTCATTAAATGGAGGAGAGTTGCAGTTACACTTTCAGTATTGTGCAGAATTTCACAGAAAACTCATCACCAGGCAAAACCAAGCTTCTGTGTCTTTCTCTTAAGCAATGCACATCAATTTTCACAAAGTTTGTGTATACTTTACAATCAGAAAGTTCTAGAATGAAACATCTTATTTGCTGCCTAAATCTGTGAAAACTACCTTTTGGGGAAAAGAATTTATAAGTTATGTGGAACCACTTTTTATTATTCTGCTAATTTGTTTTTAGATGTAAAATGTTTTTCTTCATTACAATTCAAAATGCATTAAAACATTCAACAATTTTTTTTTGCAATTTGCTGTTCTTCTGTGTTGCATTAAGGTTGCTGTTGATGTCAATATTTCAGGTTTTTGTAGTCAAAGGATCTTCCTATTCACTTTCCACTCCTTTCTACTCAAAAACTTTGTTTCTAAGGCATTGATGAGCCGAGTTTGGAAGAGAAGGTCAAGTCTGTTTATTACAGTAGATCTTCTGTAGCACTTAATGGTCACACTGCCAGTAAAGTATCTGGACTGAAAGGGTGTTCAGGACTGCATTTGTACTGTCTACTCCTATTCTGTATGGAAAAAAAAATTGTAATTGCATCTTATTATGCTGATTATGCAAAAGTTTCCATGTGTGACTTTTCACCCCACTTTACAAATTGATATTTTAAAATGAAATCTAAACAAGTTTTTTACATTTAGAGTACAACGAAAGTATTGCAAAATTACTCTGATGAGGAAACCCTGCCCTCAGTTTTTCTGTAGGTTAAAGGTTGGTTGCTTGTTGCACCCATGCTCAAACCAAAGCTGAGTAGTGTTGGAATAAAACCAAAGCACTTGTTGTTGAAAGCTTTGGGTTTCAGAAGCCAAGGCAGAGCCCTGGCTGGTACCTGAGTGTGGGATGTTGCTTTATGTGCACCTTATTCTCCTTCCATGTGCTTTAGGATCCCTCACTGACACATTTGGAATTAATCAGAGTTGCTGGTGATATGACCAAAGATAAGAGACCGGAGTTCCAAAGTAGCACAACTGATATAAGGGCTGGGTTGAGGTAGAATGCCAAACCCTGGGCTTCAGTTGATTTTAGCTGAGGGCTTCCAAATCAGACCTTACTGCCAACTGACTTAATAATACTAGAATTGTTTCAAACCCATGAGTAAATATCATGTACAACTAGTATTTTCAGGAGTATGTCTGTGTTTAAACCTGAAGGTGAGCTGCAGAAGAGCCACTCTGTCATGCACCATGGTTTGCTCTTTAGACCGGCATAGAAATTTTATTTAATGCTCTGTTGAGACCTGAGTATATCACTGAAAAATTACCCAGCCTTGTGATATTTTATTTTTAAGGAGTGTTGTTACCTTTTCTAATTCCCACAGGTCAGAGTTTTCTGAACATAAGTAATTTGCAGGAGCTTACAGAGGAAATCCTGTTTAATTCAGACTGTAAATCCTGGTCAAAACATACCATTAACTGGGAGAGGTGTTATACTGGAGCAGTGTGGGATTTTGTAGCTGTGCTCTCCAAGTGAGAATGTTCAGTACTATCATGAGGGGCTGTTTCTCAGAGGTGTAGGGTTGAGGCTGGGGAGTGTTTTCAGCATGGAACCCAAGTTCCTGAATTGGCAGCTTGGATACCTCGTACAGGTTTGGGGAGTTTTTGGAATGGTTCAGCATGCCATGTAGAAGTTAGAATTCAAGCATTCAGACTTACTCTAGGAAAATAGAAATGTTGCAGTGTCAGTGGTGGCATGTAAAATAGAAGACAGTTAATGTAGGAAAAAATACCCTTCTGCCTCTGCCTTGAATTGTTTTGAAAATGGAAGCTTCAGCCTGGCTGGTGACTGCTGTTCAGTGGAATGACACCACTACATGTTAAATGTGTTGCTTGACTCTACTTGAAGCTTCATTTCCATTTGTTGGAAACTGTACAGTTCTGCCTCCTTCCACCAAAACTTGTCATACTTAGCATTTGTTTAACATTAATTTTCCTTTTCCACTTGTGTTTGTGATCTTTCTCTTCCCCCTAGGGCAGAACAAATCTAGTTATGTCTTTATTTCAAAGCCCTGTACCAATGGATCAAGACCATCCAGCAGTCCTGTGCTGGGAGGAGAGAACTGACTGATCTCAATGTGCACTTTTTCATGTAAATGATTCTTTTTAATTGTTCAGGTGAAGATTTTTAATAATGGAAGTTGCCTGAAGGCTGTATGCATTAATGGTCTGGGCTTAGTGAAGGCTGGATCAAGTCTGTGCACCTTAACTGATGACTGTGAGGTTGTAGGTGACTTAAGGCTTTGGAAAGGAGCATACAGTGATTTCAAGAGTTGCAGAAAGGTTATGGAGAAATGCTTTTCCCTTAGTTTGGAGCTTATGTGTTGTATGCAAGAGTGGTGACCCAGCATTTGAGAAGGAATTAAGATCATTTAAGAAACAGAGGCACATCTGTGGTGAAAGCGTTTGGACTGCAGATGAGGAACACAGAGGAAGAATAATGAAGGGGAATGAGAAACTGGAATAAAATTGGGACAGTTGAAGGAGGCAAGCAGAAAGAAAATGCAAAGTGGTTCAGAGGAGTGCATGTCCAAAAGATGGTCAGTTGGGGATAAACTGCTGGGAAGTCAGTGTCTAGTGAATGCCCCTGACGTAGTGAGGAGAAAGGAAAGCAGAGATGGTAGCAGGGCAGGACCAGCCTGCAAAGGGGAAAACAGCAGGACTGAGCTCAGTGGGAAGCATAGATATTGGAATGTGCTTATGGCTAGAGCCTAGAATGGAAACAACTGGAAGTTAAGATTCTTTTGCATTTTTTACATCAGTCTTCTTGGTTTCTTTCTTCTTGGTTTTCTTGGTCCTTGATTTTGGGGGAAAAGCTTATTGCATATATAGAGACAAATTTATATATATTGAATTTTCCATTTCAAGTGTTGCAATGGTGCAGACATCACTCAACAGCTGATGCATTCCTAGGATTACAAATTACAAGGATTTATAATCTTAGCAGAGAGTGCAGATGTTACATACAAACTCCAGGTATGGCAGCAGGAGATGTGATTAATTAGGGGTCACTCCTGGACTGGAAATTTCCTGAGTGAACAGTTGATTTGAAAGGAGATGATGTTTTGTACAATCCATTTGAGAATATTTTGCCAGTCCAGAAAGAATCAGAGTGGTTTTGGTTGGAAGGGACCTTTAAAGGCCACCTGGTCCAACCACCTAGCAATGAGCAGGGACATCTCTAACTAGACCAGCTTGCTCACAGCCCTGTCCAACCTGACCTTGAATCTTTCCAGAGATGGGGCACCCAACACTTCCCTGGGCATCCTGTGCCGGTGGTAAAACATCAGCACAGGTGAAGTTTTATAAAAAGCTTCTTCCTTATATCTAGTCTAAGTTGACCCTCTTTTAATTAAGTTGACCCCTTGCCCTATCACAACATACTCTTCTAAAAATTTTGTCTCCAACTTTCTTAGAGGCCCCATTCAAGCACTGGAAGGTTCAGTATTTTAGGCCTGAACAGTCTGAATTGATTAAGGAATCTCTCACTAAACCAAAATAGAAGCATCCAAACATATAGATTGCATCAGGGAGAGACTACTGTATTTTCAGTAGTGCTTTAGTTCTGGGAAAGGCAGAACTGGCCTTTCCTTCAAATTCCTTGTTGATCTGTCAAAATTTGACAGTCTTGTTCACAAATCCCAGTAAAAATATGTATAGATTTTGTCTTCAGTGATCAAAATTCTGACTCCAATTGGCTCCAATGATTTTGGTCAAAGTATAAATCTTAAATACATAAGATCAGTCTTATACAAAGGTGGCATTTTGACAGAAAGGAGAACAATAACTGGCTGACTTCATCCACTTAATGTCATACATTTATGTGGGTTTAGCATTTAATACTTGTAATGAATCTTCCTCCTTAACGTGCTTAATTTGGATAAAGGCAGAAATCTCAATTTTGTTAGTTTTTTTTAAACCTTATCTAAATCTTTGCTATGTCACTGAGATCAGCCTCGTACAAACACAAAACCGAACCTCAGTATTTTGTGGAACAGTGTATGTCCTCTGAGGTTGTGATGTCTGAGCATATAGAAAGGTGAGTAATCCTAATGATAAGAAGGAGTAAAATCTGACACACCACACAACAAACACCACTGAAATCAGGTTGATGGTATGACAAAAACTTGAAGTACAGGATTAAGTGTTAGAAGGGAGAAACGTGAAGGAAAGGCAAAACTTTTCAGCGGCACTTTAAAGGGCGTAGTGATGATATCATTATTAATTAGGATTGTTTTTCAGCGTGGATAATTGCAGGACATGTTGTTTTGGCCTCTGGTGTTTTATGAAGCTTGTGAAAACTGTCTCTGCCAGAAGGCTGTCAGAATGTTGGATGCTGTCGTTGAGTGGTGCCACCTTCAAAGGTGCTGAGCTCCCATCAGCGTTCTGCGCAGTCTGGCGGGTGGTTGCCAGCTCGGAAAATCAGATTCATGAGACTAAATATGGATCTAGAAACTTCATTTTCGGTGCCTGTTTTTGAAAATGATACTCTAATTTTGTATATATTTTATATTGCTGCTGAATTAATGAGCTGAAAAGTTCTTGGCCACAGATGCATGGTTTACTGAAATATAAGGAAAGCAGAGAGATCATTTTCCCTCCCAAATTATATAAGGCTACTTAGAGTTTACTGTTGGGAAACTGAAGCTACATTGCATCAGTTCCAGATATAACTACTTACTGCTCGGTGAATAAACACTTTCTTTCAGATGCTCATTTTTCATATTGCAAAAATCTTACCAGTGCAGACATCATAGCATGAGCTTTCCATAGGAAAGAGAAAGATTAGCTGATTACAAATGTGTATATTTACCTATGTATCTAGATATAGATATATAAAAATACCAGACATTTCTGCCATTACCAGCAAAACTGAGGAAGTCAAACCTGACTATATGTGTATGGCTCTGACCATCCAGACTGATGCTGTGTTTCTGTGAAAACATGATATTTTTTTAGATCTCTCCTGTGCTTACTTGACACTACTGGATGCCCATCTGCAGATGAGCTACAAGAGGGGTCTTTGATGTCCAGAAACAAGTGTAAAACCAGAAGGTAACAGAGGTAACATCTGTCTCCAAATGGTTTCTGGCCAGAAAATACAATTTCCTTGAAATAAACAAGTGCATAGCATTTACTTACTTTGGTGCAGGCACAGGAGCCTGACCTTGACCTTGCATCTCAAATGACATTGAATGAAACTTGCTTGTAACTTTTTTTGTGCCAGCAACAGATGGAGCCACCTTTAAGACCCTGACTTTTTCTTGTTTTTTTCCTTGCTCAACTACAGCATCTTCCTTATGTCCATGCAGGTGTATGTTTGCAGTGGTATTTTTAATGATTTATTTTGTCAAACTAGTGTTTTGCTTTTGGAAAACATTCTGGCAAGGTCTTAAAAGAAGCAGGTATCAACAGATCTGCTGTGAACAGTGAATTGAAGGAAAGTTCAACAACCAGAGCCCATTAGAGCCATATCCCTGTGGAGATTAGCT